GCCGCTCCTTAACTGATTTTGATGAAACTTAAAATATGTTTATATCCCGAAGATCTCGGTTCTTGTAGATATTCACGCATATCGGACCGTAACTTCCTGGATTATGGCCCCTGATTATACGAAAAATCGCTTCTTTTTAATTTTAGCTTGCTCTCTATCCATGTGTTGCCAAATTTGCTCGCATCTTGCATGGCAACCGCTTGTTTGAATTGTGTATGTAAAGTTTATCATTCTAAGCGACCAATTTTAGCTGAAATTTTTATTTTGACGCGTCACAGCCGACATGCACGGGCGAAGACATCACGCTTCTGGCAAAGTAATTAAACGCGCCAAATACGAATTTTCAAGGCCTTTCTTCTGAAGTCTTTAAGTTGTGTGAAACAACAGAAGACATGGGTATGTTATATATCAGTGCTTTCCTTATGTTTACACCATTATGTTTGATACAATTTAATAAGATTTGAGTGACTGAATGATTTCATAAATTGATAAAAGTTATCTTTATTTTCACCGATTGGTGTAATTCCGTCCCGCTAAGTATGTATGATATTTATTTTTCTAAAAATGTTAATATGTGGGAACGCATGCCAGTATTGAAGTATGTTCTAAAAATTTTCTCAAAACAAATATTATTCCCAAATTTATGCGTGACAGAATTACATGTTTCTTTCGTGACGGAATTACAAATTTTTTTCGAAATTCAAGTATTTAGTAAGTATGGAATTTTATTGCATTATATAGTTGCATATATTCTTTGAGTTATAGCCACACCTACAGCATAGAGACAGCATATACGAAAATGTTTTTTTTAAATCAGCTGTAAATCGGGTGGATTATGAGAATGTTGATAGTGAACAGACGAGAAATCTGAGATTTGTCATGTTACCAAAACAGCTCAACTATTTAAGAAAAAGAAATAGATTGACTTTTCAAAATCACAGAATGCGCAATGCCAATGATGAGAATGTGGGTGCAATTTGTGCCGTGACTGGATATCACATAAACCCGCGAAGTCCATATAAAATGAAGAAATCTGAGAGGAATGTTTGCTCCAAATTTTGCAGAAAATTTCACATATATATAGCTAGGCGAGATCCAATCCACGCATTGGAAGCAACGTCGAGTGATGATCCTATATCAATATTTTCACTTGCTTCGTCTGTACCGCAATATTAGATTTTGCGCATTCCGACTCATGTTGCCGCGAGGGTAACAAAATATAAAAAAAATATACATAAAGACGCCTTAATGCGTATATTATGCAAAAATATACATATGTCCCCTTAATGAGTATATTATGCAAAAATATAAAAAAAAAGTCGCCTTAATGCGTATATTATGTAAAAAAATATACATATGACCTCTTAATGCGTATATTATGCAAACATATACATAAGGTCGCCTTAATGCGTATATTATGCAAAAATATACATATGTCGCCTTAATGCGTATATTATGCAAAAATATATTTAAAGTCGCCTTAATGCGTACATTATGCAAAAATATACATATGTCGCCTTAATGCGTATATTATACAAAAATATACACATGTCGCCTTAATGCGTATATTATGCAAAAATATACATAAAGTCGCCTTAATGCGTATGTAACAGTTACAAAATATTCAGGCGACCAACATTTTTTGTATATTTTTTAATTTTTTTTTCTATGAACAAAACTTCAGGAAATTGTAAAACAAAGGGTACAGTACCCAAAAAAGCATTTTCTGCTATAAAATATGGAAAACTGTAGATTATGCAAATTGTCCCCCTAAGGTGGAAAATATAGTGTGGTCGCCTTTATAATGCGGAAATCAGATATATATATATAGCTTTAACTATAACCTTTTACTATATATATATATATATATATACCTACCTTAATTCTAATGTTAAATTATTTGCAGATTACATCAGTTTGTACTTGCCTAACCTTGACCCAATTGGGCAAATACTTGGCTGATCACGTAAACTACATCTATATACTAAAAAGGATTAGACAAGTCTTCATACATAAGCATTTGGGTCTTACTTTTCAAAATGACTGTAAATTTTATAGACATATCGACAATATCTTGGCGAAAACTTCTAGGCGTAAAACGCTCTTTACTCCCTGAAGTGCAGATTAAACAGAAATTCTTTAAAAACAATCTATGTATCCCTCCCATATTCTTCAGCATTTCGACTATTGTGATGTTATATGGGATGGGTGTGCCGACAAACTTACTAACAAACCGGAATAATTGCAACTTGACACACCCAGGACTATATGTTGTGCTGTTACGGGTACCAGCCGTAGACCTTTATACGAGGAAACGGGTATAACACCACAGGAGAGGCGAAGGCGGCATAAACTTATACTTTTTATTTTACAAAATTATGAACCATCTTACGCCGCCATACCTTTATGAATTGATGTTATTTCCCGAAACAAATCTAATTAATCGGAGTACTTCTGTAGGACATCTTTATTTTCCAAATCGTTTACATGTATATCATCTACGATCAAGGAATGGAACCGATTTTCTGACTTTTTAAAATCATATCGCTCAATCAGTATCTTTAAAGATAAACTGAAACAAGTTGACAAAGAAGCGCCATTTTACTTTAGTTCTGGAAAAAGATAAAAAAAAAAGATCAGATTTTACATTGTCGCTTTCGTCTTTCCTGTAGTGACTTAAATGGTCATACGTTTTTAAGGCACATCTTAGACAGCCATGTATGCTTTTGAAGACGACCATCATTACCTTCAGATACACATAAAAATTCAATTTTTACCCCAAAACGTTTGTCTCCCGCCTTTCGAAGAAAACAGGGGACTATTAAAATGGGTTCGTCTGTCTTGTCTGTATGTCTGTCCGTCCGTCCGTCTGTCTGTACGTCAACTTTTTGGGACAGAATAACCCTCTTTCTAATTGAGCTAGAATGTTCAAACTTGGTGTAGGTGTTTATTAGGTCAATGCCTTAATGGAGTTTGAAGATGAGCATTTTAGCTTAGTTTAAGCAGAGATAAGTAATCTGATTGGTTGATGCTTTGGTGCACGATAACTTTAGTTCTAATTAAGTGAGAGTGATGAAACTTGGTGTATAGTTTCATTACATCAATACCATGACGATGTTCGATAATGAGCATTTTCTGCTCAGGGTAAGCAGAGCAATAAACAATTTGATTGGCCGAGACTGTGTAACACAATAACCCTCCTTCTAATTGAGGTAGAATGTTCAAAGTTGGTGTAGGCGTTCATTACCTTGACTAAGTTCAATGGTGAGAATTTTCTGCTTAGGCTAAGGAACGATAACCTATTTGATTGGTCAAGACTTTGGAACATAACATCTCTGCTTTTAATTGAAGTAGAATGTTTAAACTTGATGTAGATGTTTATTAGGTGAATGTCTTGACTGGGTTCAATGATTAACATTTCGAGCTGAAGCTAAGCAGAGCTAATCAATTTCATTGGTCGATGCTTTGGGACAGGATAATCTTGATTCTATCTCATAGAGAGTGCTGAAACTTAGTGTATAGTTTGATCGCTCGATACTTTTGAAAAAAATAAATGTGCAATTAATTAATATGTGTCATCTATTTATTTTGGGATTTCGGCGGTGGACATCAGCCTCACTGTTGGCTTGTTTCATTACAGACAGCCATGTATGCGCTTCCGATCATGCTTTTGAAGATGCCAATCATTACCTTCAGATACACGTAAATATTCAATTTTTACCCCAAAACTTTATTTCAATACAAACATTATTAAGGGAAAAGACGATAATCTACTTCTTTTGTTTATTTTATTTTTATATTAATAAAAACGTTTTTTTCATAAATTGATATGTTTCTTCCTACTTCTGGTAATATAGGAGAGGGGTTATATATAATGGGTCGATAACATCTATGTTATCTTTAAATACAAATGAAATGAAATGGGGTTTAACGTCCTCTTGTCCTGCACCGACTGGACATACGCACGACTGACAAGGTGGGGGGGGGGGGTGTCACAGTAAATAGATGCAGTACTGCATTACAGGTCAAGTAAACTATTCAGATTTTTAAAAAATATTTCAATATTTATTTGAAAAATATATACAGATGTTGTAGACAATATTGTATGCGCATTTCCGTTAGTCATTTGGGTAGCGTGAATACAATGAATAAAGAACCAGCAATTACTAGTATTATAACAACTGTATATATAAAGCGACTTGTCAACATTATGCGCACATATAGCTATGGTTTATTGATTTCGCACCAGCTGTGTTTTCAATTTGAATATGGGCGAGAATTATTATATATACTGGAAGAGAATCGGATTTTAAATAATATTCTATTCCCCTTTTCTGTTCATAAAATTTCATGGCAGTTGAAATTCGTAGAATTACTAGTATCAAAATATTGTGTTCTCAATATAAGTTTTAAGATTGGCTAGTGTGAGTTTAGTCTGGTTAATAGAAAATATACCAGCAGTAAAGTAAGATATAGTCTATTTATATGGTCATAGTAACAATGACATGGTGCTGATGTCACCATTCGGAAATGATATCAGGTGTTTCAAAAAGAGTAACCTCTACCTAACCTACGTGTATGAATAGATCCATATTTCATAATAATCCCATTTCATTTCACTTTAAACTAATTAATGACTAGCAGTACTTGTTTTGGGATAAATTAAACGCAATTATTTTCGTAGTTTAACGTTTAAATTGTCTGTATCTTATCGTGTTACATTTCCTTATCGTTTGTTCTGTGTGCGTTTCTTTTATGCAGTTCTGCTGTTTGGTCGAACGACTGGAAACTTTTTGTGTAACCCATACAATGTCTGTCGTGGGCATTTGTTACATTTTATATTCTCCTTCAAAAAATAAATTTATAAAGTTTAAGAAATTGCTTAATTCAACTCAAAATATCGATAATTTGTCGCTGAAACCAACTACTCTTGCGTTCTGCTCGTGTTTTCTCTCATTTAACGATCATTGCAATTGAATACCAGTCGCTGAACATTAGTCAAACCTGGTGTTCGTCATTTGTCGATGTCAGCGAATCAATATGATAGTTTATACCAGTATTTCAGCTCATGATAACATTGGCTACATCATCATTTCGTTCCTAAATCCTAGCAATTTATCAGAGTCTACTATTTACACGGGGTGTCAGACGCGAAAAGTCACGGCGTGAAATCTATACAGTGAATTTGAAGTCTCTTTCCTGAAATAATTGGAATTTTGGCCAGCGGCCTCTATCTTCCCGCGCAAACTACGGGTAAGTTGTATTTTCGGTTACTTTATTTCTTGGTCTTTTGGTAAAAAGTATTGGTAGTTTTCATCTAATTACAGAAAAAATACCAGGAGTAATGAAAGTCCCACAAACCCTAGTCAATCTTTATAGATTTTGTCATAGTAATACTCAATATGCATCACAATAACGATTTGTATTACCGAAATCTTCAATTTAGATGAGGAATTCGTTCAAATGGTTGTTACCAAATAATGTAATTACGAAGAATCCTTCAAATTTACCATCTCCTGTCGCTTGTTTGGGATCTGTTGTGTGTGTGTGTGATGGCTGTGTGTTTCACTTATATAACAGTAATTGCATTGAATACCCAAATTTCTGGAATTTCAAAAAAGTACCACAGAACTTAAGATAGTTGTCATGGAGTAGGGAACGGTTTCAAGGAGTCTTCCGCACATAATTAATCCGTTTATTTCGCGAAAATATATGTGATCCTGTACTAGCAACAGACGACTCATCACACGAAAGACAAAGGTGACCTTCCTAAATATGATTTATATAAACAATCATTCCTATTGTGTTGAACCGTCGTTCTGGATAGAGTAAACACACTCTAGCCTAAAGGTCACACAAAGAGTACCAGAAAATAGAAACGGATCTGCAATGGAATAGAATCGGATAGTTCGAGACTAACATTACGGTTATTTTATTGTATGACCATCTGTGCAATATTAGGAGGGTAATTCTGTTCGAACAGAGATGTTTTCGCCTTCTCTTTATCGAATTTCAAATGTCAAAGGTTATGTTACTAATACGACAATTATATATGTACACGATGAACCTTGTATTTTCGTCCCATCAAAACAAGTAAGACAAGTAGGAACCGGATTTTAAAAATCCCGAAAGCTCTTTTCTGTGCATGCCGTTCGACCCCCACCCCCACAGCCACGACATGTTAATATAATTCTCAAAGACGTGGATACGTGTCCGAGAGAAAAGTTGGACTTTTCGATTAAGAAATGACGATGTGTGACTGGAACCAGGTGGAACAGTTGTTGCGATAGCAACGACATCAATATTTTGTGTGCTGTTTCAAAGTCAATAGGTATAGATTTAGTGTAAAAGTTCTTGAAGTGTGGTAAGCTTTAATTTTAACTTTAAGGTGCATTTTTGTTTAGTAATCATTATGCCATCTCATGTGGTTTCTACTTTGAGAATTTAATAGCAGAAAAACAAGTTTTCAAATGAGTAGGTGTAGCTTTGATTAAACCTCAACAAAAACTAAATATTTCTCATTAAGATTAATGACTGATTCATTTCGAAAAACAATGACATGTCAATTAGATAAAAAGATACATTTAATGACTTATTTTTTTATAACTTGAAATACGAACAAACGTGATATGGATAAAGTGTTCAGTTTTATGCATTTTTATTACTGCGTTGATTACTAATAATTTATATTTCAGTGGCTTGAAGTATTTGTTGATCAACCTCTTGAATAAATCTTTATTTTTTATTGTGGTATTTGATATTGATTCTGCCATTGCCTCTAATTCATGATCGATCTATGAAGATCGAATTACCCACAATCTGATCATTTGAGATGCCTTTGAATTAATAATTATACAGTATGTTTGTTTTCTAATGAATGGTGTAATCTCATTTATTCATCTATGATTTATGACTGGTAACTTATTCCATCCCATACAGCATGCCTTGAGGGAAATTTCGCCAGAACAGCGGCGCTACCATCTAGTCTTATTTCGAATTCCAACTGTCAAGTGTGTACACGGGACCTTGGGTTATCGTCGAGACGTTGTTCCTGCACAAATGACAAAAGGAAATGACTACTGAACTGATTGATTTAGTTCATTTAAATTCTAATACTAATAAGACACCGAATTCAACCAGAAATTCATAATTTGAACCTATAGTTGTTGACATACCACCATGTTTCATAAAAGTGCATAAAAACAATAACGATTTCGAAATCTTTATAGAAGGAAACCCGTTTTCTACACAGTTTTATGTGTTGGGATTTGCTCAATTACATTACGTTGCCTAAAATAATAACATTTTTATTTGACAAATATACAATGCTGCCCTTTAAATCAAACGTATCTTTTCCAAATTTGTAATATGACGACATCTGTGCGTAATGTATTTACATAAATGACATATACATGTAGATATAGGGATATAGATGTTCTGGCACTTTTATATAACAGTCTAAATCTTTAACCTCACCTAACATATTTTTTGTCGTTAAACCTGGTTGCTTTTCTTGCTGGCATGATCACAATCAACACATTTTGACCTTTTTAAATTAAAAGGCTATTATATATCTTTGTTTCTCAGATAAACTTCAAATATAAATGTTACATTTATTGGAAGCCCATTAATAACGTTTTTGTAAAGTGAGATATAGAATCATTTGACGTACAGTAGTTCCAGACATAAATTAATTCTTGCCTGTAATCAATTAGGTTTTGTTTTACAGGACATGTGAAATACTATATATACTGTAGAGGTTATTTGAGTTCTCTAAATGATGACCTGTTTAATGTATTGAAGTCGTTAGCTAGTACAAGTGACAACGAGAACGGGACTAATTAGATATACCTTGTAGATTAAAATCGGGCAATGACATCATAACCTAGTAATCCAAATATGGTATCCCACGCCTTAGAATAGTGGACACTCGTCATCCGCCCTCCCCCTTGGTGTCCATATTAGAACATTGTGTTTAAAGATACATTAGTTAAGAGTTTTATAAAGAGTTGGCCATTCTTGCTATAATAATTCAAAAATAGATGATAAAAAAGAAAATGTTGAAAATTTCAGTCAAATTACTTTGTTCGGAACGGAAATGTCACTGTTGGAAGTTTGGACTAGTAATAGGCATCAACTGTGTCTGCACCGTCTATGAGAATTGGCGATCGTTTGATTGACAGACGATAACTCCACCCACATATTCTCAATTATCAAGTAACATGCTCAATGGCTATGGTAGCCTCGCTTAGCAGGTCTTTCATCACCAGTTTCCGGTAATGACATCAGTGACTAACGGTAAACGTTAGCTTCGTCCGCCATTTATTGATTTAATTTTAAATGGACGACTGTTTAAATCCAAACTGTATCCAAGCCATCTGTGGGTCTACAGGGTTGATTTTGAGCTTGTCGTGTAAATCAAGGTCTAATTAATAATTTCTGTAACACCTGAAGCCTAAATAAAGACTTGCAATAGGCATATTTAGATCTTGCATAATGTATGTTTAAATCTAGGGTAGCTTTTGAGCAGCTGAACAATCAGATAAAGGAAGTACCCGGCCAATTTTACGGGGGTCAGTCCATGCTTCATGCACGTATCATCTTTATAAGAACGAGCGGGGTTTAAGTTTGGTTAGACATTATTCAGACATCACAGGGAAACATCATTGGCGGTCCTAGAGGGACGTATAGCCGCCTCGGCTTAGAGGCCGGGATTCAGCCATAATTAAAGACCGGGATTCAGGCATCATGTAGATTTAGAAAGAAGAATTAACTTTCGCCACAAATCACAGGCTAAGGGATGGGGAACACATATTTAGCTTATATTTAATGTCATAGCTGGGTGTGTAGTTTCCTGTATATAACCTTCAGTATTATGGGCATTATAAAGTTATATAAACATAGTTATAAAAACACGGTGTTCCGGAGTTAATTGATCCTTGAAGTTTTATACACAACGTGGAAGTCAGAGTTAATTCATAATTGATCTATTTAAAAACACCGCATTGTCACACATGTTCTATTTAACAAGAGCTTTTTTTTATCAGTATCGCCCAAAGTATTGCATTCTACGCATCATTTAAAGAATTTGAATAATTTCATAAAAGTGAAATTAAGAAAAAAAAAGCTCATGTTGATTCTTGTCGGTGATTACTGGACTGTATTTTACTTGGACTAATTTGGAAGTTAATACGAAACTTTGAATAGTCACGTATAGTTTCTGCCAACAGATATTTTTGCGTTCAATATGTCGAATTTAACTCGAGTCTGAATGTAATGAGAATAATACGAATTCTTAACCTCTTCAATTACCCATAACAACAATCTGCGCTAATTATAGCTATACTAGTGGTTATTCTGGCTGTATTGGACTAATTGGGCCCCTGTCCACTGTACTTGACCATAATAATAAATACTTCCCCACACCGAAGTTGAATAGCCACCTTATAACGAGACATCTTATTTGATGCCGAAAGTCATAGCACTAAATACGACTCGTGGCTTGAAGAAACTCTTCCAGATAATTACGTATGATATTATCTAGAGTTGTTTAAGATCAAGAACGGCACGGACAAACAGGAGACCTGTATTTCAAGACTATCATTACTCGTGTGTTACCAAGTTAGATAATTGCTTCCTAGCCTCATCAATTTGGACAAATTGGAGTGTGCCAATTACCTATTTCGGGGACGAAAACATCTGAAACATCTCTCCTTATCCAATGAACACCGCCAAAGAAATTGTTATAATTCCACTACCGCAAGGGATTTTAAAAAGAAAATAAAGTCCAGTTGAAGTTGAAAATGGTAAATTCAATTTGTTTAGTAACCGTGGAAGTTGAATTAAAAGTCATATCTGTAGGTGTAAATGTACTCAACTCGATCGTCAATTCAATTATATATCAGTTATACTGAACACATTGAACACTGGTTTACGCAACTAGAATGTCTCGTGACAAGGTTCACGTTCACAGATAATTAAAGATGATCTTAGTAAAGACATAATAAATACTGTTTAGCAGTGTCAAAAATTCCTTTACTTGAACGCCAAATGTACACAAGACTTAGGTTTTTCGTCCCAACTGAACGACAAGACGCTGCATCACTGACAAGGGTAAATCACGCCGGAAAAAAATCCTTGCATGTTAATAAATTCAGAAGTAGGATATCCATATAAGTGACTTAATCCTTATAAACTTGGCGGGGCGAGGCGGAGCGGGGCTGGGTGGGGTGGGTTGGGGGGATGGTACGGTGGCTAAGTGGGTAAGACGCTGGTTCGCTAGCCTGGAGGTCGCGTGTTTGATCCATGCATTGGTCGAGAAAGTTCATCTAGATTTTCCGGCGTGGTTCTCCCTTGTCAGTGATGTAGGACGGAGGGTCTGACAAGGACAGTTGTCTAGTCGTTTGGATGGGACGAAAAACCGAGGTCCCGTGTACACATTGGCGCGCATGTATAAGATCCTTTAACAGTTGGAATTCGATATAAGAATATGAGGGGAAAATTTCCCTCATAGCACACTATATGGCGTATGTCCGTCTTCATTAGCCCAGTTCGGAGCAGAACAGTAGGACGTTAAACCCCATTTTATTTCATTTCATTTCCTTATAAACATGTATGCATCGCTGGACACCTATGCCTCCAACCCCGTCTTCCTTAGCATAGTCGGTGCAGAAAAGTAAGCCGTTAAACCGTATTTCATTTCATTTCTAGGTCTTCATAAATTGCGACACTTACAAGTGATCAATCCAATAAATAATTCAATGTGTCAAAAATACCATTTACTGTCTCTTTAAAGTAAAACCACTATGTATGCGCAATGAATGATAATCTAATATAGATAAGAACCTCTTCATTATGGCAACAACTCAACATGACAAACGGTAATATAATAAAACGTTAGAGTGACAGAAATGTCCGACACCCTCTACATACCAAATAAATAGCTTTATTGGAAGTACTCGTCGTCATCACTCAATAACGATAAACCAGTACTGATTAAAATGCACGAGTCTGTTACTTCTAATAAAGAAAACATGAAATGACTGACTGGATGTGCAGGTCATGTATCAAGCCGGTGGTTATTTCTTGTCAAATCAAAGGGTGTTTCATATTATTGCTGGTCTGTTGTTCTTTTTAGGAAAGCTCTAACCTTAATTCATTTTTATTTTATCTGACTTGTTTCTTACATCTGAATTTTCGGGAATCCAGCAACCTCACCATTATTAAAAAAATATGAATATGAAATAAATCACGGAGTGATTTTAGTGTAATAATATCACTGCAAGTTTCTTGGAAAAGAATAACTCTTTCTATGTTGGAAACATCGAAAATAACTCAGTTTAAAAGACCTTTTTAAAATGTGACAATACATTTCTGCAAGCAAGATTTTGTCTATGCAGCATGACCTCGTATTTGCATATGTCTAGACAAATGTTAGGTGTTTTAAACTAGTGACTACCCCACCCCACCTCATGATAATTTGAGGTTTAGTAGGTCGCATACTTAAGGCATATTTATATACATTACATAGAAATTGTGAAGGAACGTAGGACAAACTTTTTCGTCTAGAAATGGGACACCCATATCACAAGAGAGGAATGTTTGTATCTAAAGATATTCAATGTCGAGATGACTGATATAGTTTTGACCAAATATCAAGAAAATTGTACAGGAACATATTGTCATTGAAAATATATAGTGTAAGTTTAAATCTTAATAGATATGCAAAATTTATATATAGATATAAAAAAATCAGGTATAGCATATATTTACATCAATGGTGGTGGTTATAATTGATAAAATGCTGATTTTAGTCGTTATTTCAATGATATTGATTATGATTAATAAAATATTGATCTGAGTGTTTGTTATTTCAATGCTAGTGGTTATAATTTATAAAATCAACAAGTACTTCCGATTATTGACGTTCGTGCAGTTGTATTATAAACTGCGTGATCCAACACAGCTTCCAGGTAATCAGTTGATTAAGGATAGAGGTCAAATCCTTCACAGAAAGAGTAAATCATTTAAGTAAATTTCATCAGTTAAAGTCTAGCCATGATAATAAATACTTAAGCCTTATATCGCGTGAAATCAAAATAAAAATTGATGTAAACTTTAAACAAGATTCCAAACGTCTCAGCTTAAGTGCACGTAGTTAAGAAATTGGTTTACCCGAGAATAAAGGAAAATTGGACGTTTTGTGTTCTGTTGCTTTGCTCAATCATGATTTTGTCTTTACTTTCAGAAAGTCAGCTAACGCAAATCTTTTAGTGGAGAACAAGGGGTGCTTAGTTCATTTATACAAAGAGTAACACTCGGGAAATTAGATTGCCGCCCATGTGCCGGTCTTAGATCTTTTGGCCGATATTGTTGAACAAGTCAGAGAATTAGAATTGCTATCGACTAGACTCCTTGGTCGCTAACAGCATAATCGTATCCCTGTGTCAGAAGCTGGCGTCTATATAACCACGCTAAACAGTCTGCTAAGTTTATTGATACTCTCTATCGCCAGTGAAACCAGAGAAAGTCGAGTTGTGTGGCGACGTTAGCTCCATCTATCCTGACAGATGTGATATAATGTTAACACACGATGGAACATAGATGCTAACTGATCGAAGCTCCCGGTTTCTAAGACGAGTGTGAATTGGCGGGCCAGTTGTCATTTGTAAACTGAACTTGTGATTTTTTTTCGTACATGATCATGACAACTCTTCGCGAAAGGGGTATTGCCATGAATAGGAAGGTAACGTTGTGTCTGTGTTATTGTTTATTAACTTTACCTGGAATATTGTCTACTGGTCTACTGTGTGATCCACCATCGAATACTACAGTATGGTCACAGTCACCAGAAAATATTGAAGTAACGGTTGAATGGGGATATGGACAGGTGAGTGACCTTACCTTTAACTTTCTGTGCTAAAGCGAGAATGTACGTGTACAGTTACAGTTTAATGGTTTTAAATCGAAAATGATAATTTCTAATACCATGCAGGGAATACCGAAGATTAATGAACTGATCTCCGATGTTTATGTTTACAATCTCATGATAACTATTTCACTGACAAGAAATATTAAACTTATTTTTTAAAAGAAAAATATGTGTTTCTACACACGTTCTCTTCAATGCGTTAAGATAAACATTTTTGCATTAAAGCCCAACACATCAATTGTTTAAAGCCCAAACAGGCCACTAGACTAAATATAAAATTTAAGGCGAAATATACAGTTTAAAGCCTCGCCATGCCAAAATTAGGTTTCAATTAGGTTTAAGACCTTGCACAAGTATAACCAAGCATTTGAACACAATGCTTGGACGACATATTTTTGCTGTATTATGTATATTCATAAATAAATAGTTCTTGTCATTTTATTATAACAAAATATTGTACATTGTAAATTGAGACCAGTTATGGTCATTTAAAGGTGTGTAGCCTGCGCCCGCCCCATCCCCCGAATTGATAGAATGCATGACAACTCGGACCAAGACCAGTTGATAGACCCCTCTGACTTTTGTATTGATCCGAGTGGTCTTCAGTTGGTCCGACTGACCTTGGTCCAAGTTGTCTTTGGTCCGAGGTGTATGGTTTCGCGGGTGATCCGTTCCCTAAATTTCATAGTACTGTTATTACTTACGATGTGTATGTGTTTTGTACCAGGATTTTCGTCTGGATTTCTATGCGTGCTATTATGCGTTGCTTTCGCGACATCATGTAAACCCAAATTAAGAGTGGATTTAATATTAAAAAAAGAATTGGACTGAGGTGGGGTAAAACCATGTGATTTTCCCCTAGTTGCCACTGCTAAAGATAACGACTGAAATAATTCGATCGCGACCCACTTCCATGTTAGTTTATCTTCCAAGAAATCCTTGGAAGTCCCCCAAAGAAGGTAGTCAACTCATTTCCTCAATTATTTCTCAAAAATATCAATCAATTTTGGTACAAAATAGTTATACCCCCTCCCACGCCAAAACATTCGTCGTTAAATATTATGTAAAGAAAGTATGGTTCTTGATATGATTAATCTCCACGTCAACATTGATAATGTCAACATTTGAAGAACTAAACAAAATGAATATCCATTGTTAGTTTCTAATCTAATTTGTCGAAAAGACATCAACTAGTAATTATTTTAGATAAGTAGTGGGTTGATGGAACTGATTGGTCTTATAATTTTCAGCTCCGCTAATACGCCGGCTGTTGTAAATTGAAATTTGCCTCTTTGAAGAAACTAAAAAAAAAATGGCCCTACCAAATATTATGGTATAGTGTACAAAAAACAACCGGCTATTATTGAATAAGAATATAACATTGTTGTACAATAATTACTATTGGTAAAATTAGAGCTTATTTGAGTTATTTGGAATGAGAATTTGTATTTCGTGGGGTTGGTGGGACATATCGTATACTGTATAAATTAAAAAAACTTAACTAGAACTGCGATGCAGTAATGACGGGTTTAACCGGTGACACATTACCCTTGAACTTATGTCACTTCCGGTGCCAGTTACCCAGCAATATTAATTTCATTTATACATTTGTTACCATTTGTTACCATGTGTTACATATGTCAAAAAAGTGATCATTACAAAATTTGTTACTAACTTACCGCTAAGTTAGCTGACTTTTTAATGAGAAATTTCTCGACAAGGGAAGATGCTAGAAACAATTTTTGGACATCTATATGATCGTATTGATCCAATCTATATGTCCATTGGAATCAAATATCATAATGTTAAACGAATGATAAATATAACTCACTTCAAAACAATTTGAAGGCTAATAACACAGTTTTTGCCAAAATTACATTACTTCCGGTGATAATAATTTTTTTACATTAATTCTATGAAAATATAAATGGCATAAGGCCTCACATGGTGAAAATTTTAAGATAATCGAATAATAATTGACACTTTTATAGACCAAAACCTATATCTCTGCAACCGAACAAATTAGAAACCATTTTGTGATATCTGTATGGTCGTATGGGTTTTTGCCCAAATGTCGTCATTTTCAGTTGGATTGACCTAGTCAAAGGTGGCATGAGGCATCACATGGTAACAAAAATTGAAAATCGAACGATAATTGACTCTTTTACATGCAAAATAACGTGAAAAGTGACGCATGCAAAATTGCCTATTTCTTTGCAACTGCGCATATTACAATCTAATTTTGCCATACATTGTCCTCGTATGGATTGATGCTGCAACATTATGAAAGTTGCGTAGAAATAATTTAAAATATGAAGACGATAAATAGCTGATTTTTACTCTATTTTTGAACCTTAAATCCAAATGGCGCAAATACAAAACTGATATAAAAAAACCCCAAAAAACTAAGCCCGACATATTTTGCGCCTGTAGTAGGAGCAGTCATCTTCATTGATAAGATTTGTAGAAATTAAGATTTTTCCTTAGGAAAAGATCCCCCGACCCGTCAAAATTTAAATTTTAGGCAAGATTACGTCACTTCCGGTGCCGACAAAACTTTATAGGTAGAAACAAGTTGAGAATTTACACCAAGGAGTATATGAGCTTTTGTTTTATACAAATCAGGCAATAAATAATTAATTTAGAACCCATAAACTGTAATAAAAATGCGAAAAGTCTTAAAAAGTGATCCTGACGAAATTGGTTATTTCTTTGCAAGAGAAGATGCTAGAAGCTATTTTTTGACATATTTATGATCGTATTGATCCAATCTATATTTCCATTGGAATGAAATATCATAATGGTAAACGAATACTAAATATAACTCACTTCAAACAAATATTTGTTTTGAAGGCTAAAAATACAGTTTTTGCTTAAATGACATTACTTCCGATGAGAATGAAAATGTTAAATTAGTTTTATGAAATCAGAAATGGCATAAGGCATCACATGGTAAAAATTTTATGAAAATCTTATAATATTTGACACTGTTATAGACCAAAAACCTTGAAAAGTGACTAGTAGAAAACCGTCTATTTCTCTGAAACCTTACAAGTTAGAACCCATTTTGTGGTATCTATATGGTCGTATGGGTTCATTCTATTTGTTGATTGAAATTAAATATCATACTTTTAAACAAATAACATATACAACTCATTTGAAAAAAATATCGGTTTTGAAGGCTAAAACTCAGTTTTTGCCCAAATGACGTCACTTCCGGTGACAGTAAAGGTGTTAAAATGGTTTAATCTAGCCAAACGTGGCATTCGGCATAAAATGGTGAAAGAAAATTGAAAATTGAATAATAATTGATTCTTGTACAGGCAAAATAGCACGAAATGTGACTCATGCAAAATTGCCTATTTCTCGACAACTGCTGATATTACAAACTAATTTTGACATACATTCTCTTTGTATAGTTATTGCTACGAGGTTATGAAAGTTACGATGAAATATTTTGAAATATGAAGACGGTGGATGGGTTGTAAATAGCTTAATTTTACACCTTTTTTCACCTTTTAATCGAAATAGCCCGAAAACGAAATCGAAATTAAAAAAACTGAGTCCGATGATTTGTGCGCCTTTTGCTTTCAAAAAGTTGTACCGAACTGTCAAAATCTGTCAAAATTGTAGTTTTTGCTGATTTTACTTCACTTCCGGTGCCGACTCGAATCTTTACCGGTAACAAAATAAATGACATTTTGGGCCACGCAGCATATGGACTTTTTTTTGTACAAATCGAATAATAAATAATTAATCTAGGACTGAAAAATGCATCATATGTTAAAATTCGATGATTATTGTTAATACTACGGCATTTTTTTTAAAAAAACGACAACTTCGGTGATTTCGGACATTTCGCATTGTCACAGAATGCCCAAAATAGCTTTAATCTCTACGTCACACCCACTTTCCCAATAAAACCGAAGAAATCAAATCAAATTACAATCAAATTGGAAAATAATAATAATAATAATAATAAGAACTAGAACTGCGATGCAGTAATGACGGGTTTCACCGGTGCCACGTTACCCTAAACATATGTCACTTCCGGTACCAATGAAACCATTAAACAGGTTTCCACCTCATCATTGCACACATCAAATAAAATGGACGCCGAATCAACCAAATCCAGCAATATCAATTCATTTTATATATTTGTTACATGTAAGTGTACAGTACTTCCGGTGATAATGAAAATATTCAATTAGTTTTATGAAATCAGAAATGGCATAAGGCATCACATGGTGAAAATTTTATGTAAATCGAATAATAATTGCCACTTTTATAGACCAAAAACCTTAAAAAGTGACTTGTAGAAAACCGTCAATTCCTCTGCAACCATACAAGTTAGAAACCATTTTCTGGAATCTGTATGATCGTATGGGTTTATTTTATTTGTTGATTGGAATCAAATATCATAATTTTAAAAACATAACAACTCAGACTCATTTGAATAAAATATCTGTTTTGAAAGCTAAAAATACAGTTTTTGCCAAAATGACGTTACTTCCGGTGATAATGAAAATCTTAAATTACTTGTATGAAATCGTAAATGGCATTAGGTATCACATAGTGAAAATTTCATGAAAATCGAATAATAATTGACACTTTTATGGACAAAAAACCTTGAAAAGTGACCTGTTGAAAATTACCTATTTCTCTACAACTGAACAAGTTAGAAACCATTTTGTGATACCTATATGATCGTATGGGTTAATTCTATTAGTTGATTAGAATCAAATATCAAAATATTAAACAAACAACAAATACGACTCATTTCAATAAATTATTTGTTTCTAAGGCTATGAATACAGTTTTTACCCAAATTTCGTCATTTCCGGTGACATGGAAAATGTTACATTGAGTTGAACTAGTCAAAATTGACATTATGCATCAAATGGTGTCACTTTTATGAAAATCCAATAATAATTGACTCTTTTACAGACACAATAGCG